ATATTACTTTCTTATGCTGCACTAGTACACGATTACAAACGTATTATACTTACAGTACATCGACTTTTTGCAGATGAAAAACGCTGGTACCATTGATGAACTGAACGCAGGACTGCAACAGCCGTCCATTGGAAAAATTTTAGACGCACAAGGGTCGCTTCCATCGGCTTCCAGCGTTAGTGAAAAACACCGCATCTGTGATCTTCTGGTTCGCCATATCCTCATCGATTCCGTGCAGTTTTTGATAAACGATATGAGAGAAGGTCTTGAAACGCTTGGCGTGCTGCAAGCGATTCAAAGAAACCCGGAAAAATTTAGAGAATTGTTCATTAAAGAATACTTGCCGAAGTTAGACGCAGAAATTGTTGATCTGCTTTTCGTCCCAAAACTTGCGGAGGAAGGCTCAAACAAGCGGGCAGCGCAAGAGCAAGCAATAGTGTACTGGCGTGACTATTTGCAAGATTGCATGGGTAAGCTACCTAATCCAGCTATTGCGTATAATTACCTTCCCCAGGTGTATGCGTGTGCAGTACAGCGTGTCCCAAAAGGTCACCATTTAGAAATCACTTTTGTGCTTTGTTACACCTTTGGGAATTTAATTTAATTGCACATGAACGGCGGAAGTATTTACAATTTAACGACGCAAGCAAAATGATTTCACTTGGGTTAAACTTTTCGTTAACATATAAGTTGTTACGACAAATACTCGTTGCTCTGTGGTCAGTTGGACCACTCTTACTTGAACGACGGAAAAACGAATTCGTAATTTTATATTTTTGTGTTGATGTTCGTTTTAGAAGCTATTTTAAATTCCCAGAGGTTTAAAAACGCACCTTGATTAGTGATTTCTAAAGGGGGACTTTCTTGGGGGGACACCCTGTATATGCGTGTAACAATTTTATAATAAAACATTAACTTTGACAGATGATTGGCTTCGCACTGAATAGTTTTGTAGGTTATAAGAACCTAAGAGATGCACCATTGTATTTAACAACACTGTATAGTACCTATGCCAGCTTTGAAGACATGTACCGAGAAAAAATAAAAAAATAGCATCCCCCATCACATCAGGAAAAAACTTCACTTCACCCCTTTTTAGTCACTAAATTTTGCCCCCCCCCCCTCGAAATCGTCAG